GGCACCGCAGCCACACCCCCCGCCCGAAGTGAGATCGCCCGCACCAGAACGCGTGGTACATCAGTGCCTGTGTTGCGGCCCAGTGTGATCTGCAAAAATAGTGCTTGCAGCATTTCTGCAGATCGCACTGGACTGAAACGCAGGCACTGACCGCTCTGGAACGCACTGTTTGTGGTGTGAGTCGGTGTTCTATCAAGGATTGTGACTTTTGCCGGGCACATAGTCCACCGCCAAAAAAGTGAGCATGAGTATGTTAAAATGTGTGACCACGTGACCGGTCACACATTCCCCCGCCAAAAAAGTGGGTGTGATTAGGTTAAAATGTGTGGCCACGTCACTGGTCACACATTCTAACGCAGTCACAAACTTTGATAGTACACCGGCCCTCAAACCCTTTCTCAGAAGAGGAGAAGGTTATGAAATGCAAGGAAGGAGGGGGCGGTACTAGGAAACTGACTCTCATGGAGTAGTCAAATTTTCTAGCATGCTTAAAAACTCTACAAGTAAGCACTCCATGCTTTAACCTGTCTTTTTCAGCTGGTGACAGGGTCTCTTTAATATTGAATGTAAAGATGTATATATGCATATTAAGACTTTACGGGCCCTGCCACACCATGTCTGGACCAGATCTGCCCGTGTTTCTGCAAACGCGGTGCAGTGCGTTTGTGATGCGTTTGTTACGCGTTCCAGTGCGCCTTCTTTTGTCATTATGCAAATTAATCTCTTCCTGCTCCATGTCATAGTTTCTGTTGCGTTCCAGTGCGGTGCGTTTGTGACACGTTCAGGTGCGTTCTGGTGTGTTTCAGTGCAGGAAAAATGTGGCATGCAGCATTTTTTTCCCGGCACTGGAACAGACTGGATTGGTGTGAACAGAACCCGAAAATCACATACAAATGCATTTGGATGCATTTTTGGTGCGGAGGAAAAATGTAACGTACCGCATCTGATCCGGACATGGTGTGAATGGGCCCTCAATGACCAAATATAAAACATTTTTGATGGTGTTTCTAGTTGTTTACTAGCAGATCAGGATTTTCTATCACTGTTGAAGTTTCTGTGTACTTATCACCGTTGTTATGGCATTTGGCTGGTGGTCAGGGTGCCGTACCGCTACCTTCCAACACGCAGACATTTGTGGTTGTGGGACAATGACAGTTGTCCTCCTAACTTAATACAAAGAGCTTTCTGTTCCTGTCAGTTCGCTGGATGTCACACTTTGTTGGCTTAAGATAAGGAAATTCCGCAACGATCTGCTGGATGTCCCGAAGTTCCATACAAGAAATTTGCTGACAGCTAGTTGAAAATTGCAGATTTAAATCTGAGCCCCAGAAAAAAAACACAGATTATTGCAGTTATGTGTTAACCAGAAAATAAATGTAACTCTGAATGCAATCAGTGTAAGTACCTGAGTTTGAACTGAAATCAGTCTCTTGTCATCCCCTGTACTTTAGGACCGAAGGGCTATTATGGGTTCACACTGAGAACCCGGCCGGTCCGCTATGATATCACAGCGGCCTCTCCGGGTTCTAAGTGTGTAATGACAGATGGTGTCCCTGGTTACCTGTTAACCAGGGACGCCATCTATCATTAGTCTCCCGGACGCTCTGGGAGTCTAATACGGCTCCCCGCCGCCGAGGAGAGAAACACTTTCTCTCGGAAAGGTTTACTCTGTTCGATCGAGCAGAGTAAACCTTTCCTTGTGATCTGTGTTTTTCTTCTTTTTTTTCTTCTGACATGGGGCCTCTGGCCCCCCTAAGAAAAAAAAACACCATAGGAATGCATAGCTAGATTCCTATTGGCTATTTCACTTTGCAATAGCAAACTAGCTATTGCACCCGCCCACTGCTGCTGTCAATCAGCAGAGGGGGACCTGCAGTTCTCCATCGGGTCCCCCTCTGGTGATTGACAGCAGCAGAGGGCGGGTGCAATAGCTATTTTGCTATTGGCTATTGCAAAGTGAAATAGCCAATAGGAATTTAGCTATGCATTCCTATGGTGTTTTTTTTAATTTATTTATTTTTACGGCTGCAGAACCGCCCGGGCCAATAGAAAACAATTGGGCGGAGCTAGCTGTCACTGCTAGCTCCGCACAATTGTTTTCTATTTTTTTTCCCTACTTTTTAAACTATTTTTCTATTCTGCTGGGTACCACAGAGGTACCGAGAAGAATAGCAGAGCCGAATGCCGCTCAGTGGCATTTGGCTATTCACTCACTGCTGCTCGGCATCTATGAGAATAGGCCGAACAGCAGTACAAATCAGCCGTACAAGCCTGAAGTGAATAGCCTAACAGTGTTCGGCTCACTTCACTTCGGGTCAGTCATTCACTCGGCTGCCGTCGGCAGCTTAGTGAAAGACCCCTATGTATATTTTAATGGTGTATTCAATTGTTTGCCTACAGTTTAGATTTAAAGGATGACAGCATTTTTAAATACATTAACCTCCCTCGCCCTCTTCGGCTTATTCTAAGCTCTACGACCAGAAGCCATGACCTATGGCAGACGAGGTGGTGATCCCTTTGTTCCTCGAGCCATAGGCCCTAATAGAGAAGGTGTACACTTGCCAGCATGCAAGTGTTGTTAAAAATAAAAAAGGAGCTGAACTGTGGAGGCTGTGACCAGAAAAGACAACTAGGACTAGTCAACAGTAATGCCTACAGGCTCCCTGCAGTTGATCTGTTTGCCATTACTGACTTGCCATTCATTTTAATGCACAGGGGGATATTTATCAAAACTGGAGTAGGTAGAATCTGGAGCAGTTGTCCAGGGCAACCAATCAGCACCTCTCTTCAGTTAGCTCAGGTATGAATTAAAAATGAGACAGAGAAGCTGATTGGTTGCAGTGCAAATCTGCTCCAGATTTTGTCTGCTCCAGTTTTGATAAATGTCCCCATGTGTCTTTGTGTAGAGGTGGCCACCTTGGGTGAGGAACAGGTCTTTGCTTCCTTATGTCAGAGCATTCCCCCCTGATGGCTGCTGATCTGACGTCCAATGATCTGATGACTTGTAATCTGATAACAGGTGATTTGATGACCAATGATCTGATGACTTAGGGCTCATTTGATCGCACCGGACCGCACTGCAGGCACAATGTGCCCTGCGATCCCGTGCAGGCGATCGCATTGCGGACGGAGAGCGTGGCTACAGTGGCACTCACTTCAATGGCACGCCACACGCCCTCCAGCCCGGCAAAAAAGTGAGCCAGCCAGAATCGGAACAGAACGCACTGCTTATGGTGTGAACTAACCCTAATGATCTGATGACAGGTGATCTGTTGAGTTGTAATCTGATAACTGGTGATCTGATGACAGGTGATCTGATGATTTGTAATCTGATAACTGGTGATCTGATGATTTGTAATCTGATAACTGGTGATCTGATGATTTGTAATCTGATAACTGGTGATCTGATGATTTGTAATCTGATGACAGGTGATCTAATGATTTGTAATCTGATGACAGGTGATCGGATGAGTTGTGATCTGATAACTGGTGATCTGATGATTTGTAATGTAATGACAGGTGATCTGATGATTTGTAATCTGATGACATGTGATCTGATGATTTGTAAGCTGATAAGTGGTGATCTGATGACAAGTGATCTAAAAACTGGTGATTTGATGACTGATGATCTGACAACTGATGATCTGATGACCGGTGATCTAAAAACTGGTGATCTTATGACAGATGAGCTGATGACCAGTTATCTGATGACTTGTAATATTGCTCACTGCTCAAGGAACCCCTGAAAAGCTTTGGAGGAACCCTAGGGTAATACGGTATCCTGGTTAAGAAAGGCTGCACTAGAAGATAGCAAAGATTGCTTTACTTTTTGAGTTTAAATCCAATTTAAAGCTGCACTGTTGTTTAAATAAATCATAAATAAAAAAAATAAAGGTTGATATTTATTACAGGCGGTCAGTAATCATCACTGTAAATATAAATAAAAGAAATGTAGGTTGCTAAAGATATACAGATCTTCCATTTACAAAGGAATGCTGAGCATGCTGTACTGAAATCTTTAAGGGCCCATTCACACCTTGGTGTTGTGTTAAATGCATGATGCCATAGGTTAACGCACGCAATTGCACAGTGCACGTAGAGCGCGGTACTGTGTGCTAGGCACGTTGTGTTGCCATTCATTGGCATGCATGCGCTGCAACGTGCAGTTGTTGGGAGGTGCATTGGGTGCCATTCAAATAAATGGCAACATAATGCACCTAGTGCACGGTGCATGGCATCATTAGTTTACCGCAATTACATGGTGTAAATGGGTCCTTAGGCCGGATTCACACTCTTCCATTAGTTTTGAATGCCACCACAACACATTAAAGCAACACACCTGCATTGTAGTGCACCGTAATGCATGGCAGTAAGTTGCGTTCAAAAAAAGGGCTTTGCGCGATTTTAGGCACATTAGGATGCATTGGCAACCCTTTTCATTTTGGACGGGCTGCCTTAACGCAGCACAACAGAGAGCAAGTTTATGCACCACAGGGAAGTAAATGGGCCCTTAGGGAAGGCATTTAGGACAGGGGTGGGCAACCTCAGAAACTCCATCTGTGGTGAAACTACAAATCTCATAATGTCTCTTACTCTGGGATTCTTGCCTGTGACTGTCAAGAGTTTTGCAGTGCCTCATGGGACTTGTAGTTTTACGACAGCTGGCGTTCCAAGGTTGCGTACCTCGAGTTAGGAATTTACTGACATCAGGGAAATGTAAAAGGCTTGGTTTCCATCTCAGTACTTGTTTCAGCTCTCTCTGAACTCTCTGTCTAATGACAACACCACACTGTGTAATGCATTGTTATAGTGTATGCATGTCTATCCTCTTCTAATGTGTGTTAGAAAAGATGCAGCATGTGGTTATAATGACTCCGTGTGAAGGGAGCATGTGAGAACAGGAAGGAGCCAGGTCTGGTTACTGAGCAACATTAATCTATTAACCAAGGAATGCAAGCCCGGTATAAATTACACAGCCTGGTGCACACAGGGATGGAAGGAGTCAGATGTCAACAACAGTTGTCACTGCAGTATTTGGGCAGCTTTGATAATTCGGTATTATAAGGAGCACATTCATATTCAGGTAACCATTTATCTAACAAAAGCTGGAATACAAATCACATAGGATGTGCTAATGTAATATCACATTGCTCTTGGTGATAGAACAGTAACGTACCACAGACAGAGTTTGATCTGTCAGATTACTAATGATGTGCAGTGTAAGGGTACACCAGACTGGATGCAGTATGAATTTTGTTGATGTGCCTTATGATATCATCCAAGGGTGGGTGGGGATATGGCGCTGGACCACAGACTTTCTCTGGTCCAATAGGAGCAATATTTGGGCCTGATGACTTGTTCTGGCAGCTCTTCACAAAATAGGGGACCCTCCAAAGGAAAGGACAAATTGAGAAATCCATGTGAATGAAGACTAAAAAAGAGCACCGGGTAATCATCGCAAGAGTCAAAAAAAACCTTTAGGGCGGGTTCACACCGTTTTCCAGACCAGATCTGGTCCGGAAAATGGTGTGAACCTGCCCGCAGTTCCAGTGCATTCCAGACCAGACAAAATGAGGCGTGCAGTATTTTCTGGTCTGTACTACTCAGCTCTCCGACAACCACTGAGATACATTAAAACTTTTATTTTTGATCTTGCAGTTGTTGATCTGGGTCTGCTTCCTGGAATATGTGACTGCACATCATCTTAACGGGGGAAAATGCCCATTCACAGATGAGATTTCCCAGGATGGCACTGGTGATGTAGCCTTCCCAGGATGCATCTGTGAGGCCAGGGCTACATCACCAGGGCGCACTCAACCAGCAAGTGGAAAAACATAACATAACAGTAATTGTAAGTAAAAGCAAAATATATGCTTAAAGGACAACTATGGGGTAAGTGTTTTTCCCCATAGCTCTCCTAAGGATCACGGGAAGACCCAATCTAGAGTCCTCCCGTGACCCAAAGCTCATTATACCGAGACCCGAGACGGTATAATGAGACCCCCACAGCCGGGACGGATCCCGAATGTCGAGATTCACCCAGCTACGTGATTGACACCTGGCTCTGCCTACCTAGAGGCAGAGCCAGTTGTACCCGCCCCCTCCCCCGTCTGTTCCGCCGGTCAGCGCTGGAGGATCAGAAAGGGGAATCCCTGCAGGGACATGATCAAGAAGTGAGCGAGTGACGGTATCTGTTCGCTCACTTCCCGATCTATTGAGCCGACGTGTGACAGTTTCATTGTCACGCGCCGGCTCGAACTATGAGGTTGAGTGATTTTCACTCACCTCATAGTTCTCCTTTAACTAATAAATGTAAGTTGATTTCATATCAGCATGCAGAGCTACATGTTGATGTATTTTTTTTTAGTGAAAGGGGGTGAAAGTCTGCTTTAAAGCACATGTAAAGGGAGAAAGGAATTCAACATTGTCTTTTAGCTTTAGTAGATGAGCACTGTTGACTTTTAGTCTAGATTTGGAACAGAGAGTGATGTTCCCTCACACTAACCTCACACTCCTGAAACCCTCTATTATAGTGCACCTGTGCATTGCTGATTCAGGGCAAGGTAACAGTTGAAAAGCCTTTCTGCAGTTGATATTTTACATTTGTTGCCTTGCTGGCCTGTTCACCTGCCAGAGTCGACTCTACATCCCTGTGTTAGGCCCACATCAGAAGAAGAGGAAAGTGACATCTTTAAATATTTACCACTTACTGAGGGTGACGAGTGAACATGGTGGCAAAAGAGCTCAGGTATGCTAAGTATCAGCAGCTGGGGGACCAGTCTATCTAGCAAACCTGTTATGGTACCCTGAATGGGTAAAATACCCATTAGGTGTCCTCATCTCCCCGTAATTAATAATGACATTGACCACCAGTTCTGGGGGGCATACATGCGTCTACCAACCACCAATGTTGGTGATATTTTTTACCTCACTGGCACCAGTGCTGGGGTTATTATTGCGTCCACTGGCAGCCAGGTGCACACAGATTTTTACAGACATTCTCACTTATCTACCATTTCAGTGACACTTACAGTGCCTGTAGTGGTCAGTGTCACTGGAAAGGTGTCTGTTCCCTATTCTAGAGACCCTGGCAGTGTATCTAGCTTCTACCTATAGACACTGATCATGTCACTGGAATAAGAAATAGAGGGGAGCCAGCTGCACTGTCAGTGTCACTGGAATAGTGTACACACAATGCACCTGGATTCCACCCATCCACCATTCTGTAGACTCTGGACCTATCATTTAAGCCCCTGCCAGTTTTTAAAAGCACAATTTGGACTTACCCAATATAGCTCCTCCCCCTGCCCTGTACAGTGCCCTGCCCACCGTTTCAGGAATTGCAATTTCTAAAAGTTCCCAGGTATACATAGCTACATAGTTAGTCAGGTATTAAAAAAAGACACAAGTTCAACCAATAGGGAAAAAGAAGATTAATAAATAAACAGAAAACCTCCATAAACAGAATCCGATGGAATGCAAAAAACATCATTAAGCATGAATAAATGTCCTCCAATAGGTGAAAAAAATCCTTCCTGGTCACCTAAGACAATTGGATATTCACTGGATCAACAAGCCCATGTGTATTTACTATTAATAATATCCAGTTATATTCTGTGCATTTAGGAATGCATCCAGATGTTTTAAAAACAATTAACTGAGCAATCTAGAAATAATTCCTGAGGAAGCCTATTCCAGATTTTCACAGCTCTTACTGTGAAAAAGCCTTTCTGTATGTGAAGGTTAAACCTCTTTTCCTCCAGATGCAGTGACCTTAAATGAATAACGTTGCACCAAGTTCACTATATGGACCATTGATATATGTATACATGGTTTATCATAAACCTCCTTAAACACCTCTGCTCCAGAGAGAACAAATTAAGCCCAGCTAATCTTTCTTCATAGCTGAGCTCCTCCATGTCTCTTATGCGTTTAGTTGCCCTTCTCTGCTCTCTCTCAAGTTCCACAACATTTTTGTGAACTGCTGATCGTCTGTAATGCTCTGAGCCCAGGCTGAGTGATAATGCCACCCTAGGTGACAGGTCCGTGACAGCCTCCCCTCAGAGGAAGTGGGCTGAATGGTGATTGGGAAGACTGGGGACATCTTGTGGTGAAAAAGAAGTAGTGCGGGTGGGTAGGGGGAGGGCTAGCATGAAGGTGAGTATTGCAGCAAAAGCTGGCGAATAGAATATGTCACAGTACATGTAAGGAATCTTCCACCAGTCTTGCTCGATCTTTTGCTGCTTACTGGACATCCCAGGAAGGCATCATCCTTCTTCCAACCATACAAGTCTGTTATATTGGTGATCTTTATGGTTAGGACTTGGTACATGTATTTTATAATTACTGTTCAGTATTATATTAATTTAATTGATTGGCATTGTCTTTCAGTCATGTTACCTAATTATGTATCCTTGCATGATACTGTTGTGTGAAATGTCCTTACAATATGACCTGGGTCATCCCAGGTTTACTTTAGCCACTCGGTGGCAAGTGATGTGGTATATAATTTTAAGTGTTTTAGTGTTGTTATATTCTACAGCAGGATTTTTATTTGTTCTAGGTATTATTTTTTTAGACAGTCTTTGCTAACCGGGGTGCCTTCTGGGTTTGTCAGGGGTGCCTTCTGGGTTTGTCAGGGGTGCCTTCAAATTATAATTATATTATCACACAGCATCATGCATTTCAGATGGACTCTGATGGGAAGGGGGCTTCTGATGTGAAGAGGGGACTCAGATGGGTTGGGAGGCGGGGGGGGGACTCTGATGTGAAGAAGGGACTCAGATGGGTTGAGGGGGACTCTAATGGGAAGGAGGCTCCTGATGTAAAGAGGGGACTCAGATGGGAAGGAGGGGACTCAGATGGGAAGGGGGCTCCTGTTGCAAAGAGAAGACTGTGATGGGAAGGGAGGGACTCTAATGGGAAGGGGGCTTTTGGTGTGAAGAGGAGGGAACTGTGATAGGAAGGGTGGACTCTAATGGGAAGGGAGCTCCAGATGTGAAGAAGGGACTCAGATGGGAAGTAGGGGACTCTATTGGGAAGTGTGGACACCGGCACTCCAAGGCAGATTAAGTATGTCTATTTAATCATGTACATGTTGCATAGTCAAACACTCAGTGCAACTTTTCGGGGTCTCACAGGATTCCCTTCATCAGGCAAACAAGTGATAGTTGCAAGTGAAGCACAGGAAAAAATATATACACCAGCAGTGACTGCTTGCCTGATGAAAGGGATCCTGCGAGACCCCGAAACGATGCACGATGAGTGTTTGACTATGCAACATGTACGTGATTAAATAAACATACTTAATCTGCCTTGGAATGCCGGTGTCCATCCTTCTATCTTGTATATTTTGACGGGAACCATCCGTCAAAATCAGTTGCACCCACTTCCTATTTGATGGAACAGCGGTTCTGGATGCGATGGGTATATGGACTGTATCTAATGGGAAGGGGGCTCCTGATGTGAAGTGGGGACTCAGATGGGAATGAGGGGACTCTAATAGGAGGGGTAGAACAGTAGAAAGGCATCATGGCACACTCACAAACCAGCATGTAAAACAACATGTCTCACCACTAAGGACAATGACAGAGGTTTGGATACACGTCTTCTGCAAAGGATGTGTAAGCCGCACTGCCGCGCCAAGGCACCTCTTATAGTGCGGTCCTAACTCTAAACTATGGGAGTCTCCATCTTGGAGCACATGGGGCAGAAGATATCAAATTGGGTGCAGGCCTGTCAGGAGGACGCCCAACCTCCTTAAAGGTACAGAAACACACAAGGGATCCCGCACATCCCAATGGCAGCTGAGAAACCCCATGCGTCGTTGCACCAAATCGTGTATCCAAACCTCTGTCATTGTCCTTAGTGGTGAGACATGTTGTTTTACATGCTGGTTTGTGAGTGTGCCATGATGCCTTTCTACTGTTCTACTGTTCAAAGCCCATTTCGTGTGCACCTTACTGTATAACTGGTAACAAATTGTTGAGTGCGTTTGTCTAATAGGAGGGGGGCTCCTGATGTGAAGAGGGGACTCAGATGGGAAGGAGGATACTCTAATGGGAAGGAGGGACTCAGATGGGA